TCGTGGACTACAGCCCACTTCTTCGGATGTAGTCCACGAAAGCTTATGCTCTAATAAATTTGTTAGTCTCTAAGGTGCCACAAGTACTCCTGTTCTTCTTTTTGCGGATACAGACTAACACGGCTGCTACTCTGAAAACACAAAAAGTCTACACCCACTAAAAACAATGCCTGACAGAGCAGGACGGGGGAAAGCTAAGCCCCCATCTTTTGGGCTCGATCCTGCTACGACCGAGGGTATATTCACCTATGAAATTTTTCCCCGACAGACAGGTTGGAGTGAGGACTCTAATCCTCCCCCTAGAACTCGGGGTGTGCACACCTGAATGATCGATCACTTTATATGGAGGGCATAACCTTTTAGCAATATTTAGCAGTACAGTAACTCCTCACTTAAAGTCATCCCGCTTAACGTTGTTACGTTGCTGGTCAATTAGGGAACATGCTCATTTAAAGTTGTGCAATGCTCCACTCTTACTTGTTTGGCTGCCTGCTTTCTCCACAGCTGGCAGCCTCCGTATGCCCCCCCCCAGCGCCTCCTGCCCACCAGCAGACCCCGTGGATTGGCGCCTTCCCCCGCCTCCTGCCCGGGGCAATCAGCTGGCTTGTGGCGTTTTGGAGGCAGGAAGGAGGGGGGAGGAGGGGGGAGGAGCGAGGACTCGGCGCGCAGGCTCCCCCTCCCTCCCCTGCCTCCCGAACGCCGCAAGCCAGGTGATTGCCACGGGCAAGAGGCAGGGGGGAGGGAGGGGGAGCCTGCGCTAAGACCTTGCTCCTCCCCCTTCCCTCCTGCCTCCTAAATGCTGCAAGCCAGCTGATTGCCCTGGGCAGGAGGGAGCGGGGAGGAGGGAGGACTCAGCGCACAGACTCCCCCCTGCCTCCTGAACTTGGCAAGCCAGCTGATTACCACAGGCAGGGGGAGAAGTCAGAACTCGGCATGCCTCCCCCCCGCCTCCCGAACATTTCAATCAGCTGGTTTGCGGTGTTAAGAAGGGAGGGGGGAGGACCCAGGACCCTTTATTAAAGGGGGAGGAGGTGGGGGGGGAAGGGGTAGAGTGGGCGGGCTGAGGGTTGAGCCCCCCCGCTCCTGGTGCTTGCAGAGTAGGGGAAGCTGCCCTGGAACCTAACCCCCTCATTTACATTAATTCTTATGGGGAAATTGGATTCGCTTAACATCGTTTCACTTAAAGTCGCATTTTTCAGGAACAGAACTACGACGTTAAGTGAGAAATTACTGTATGTTCAATCACAGTGCATGTCTTCCCCCTTTCACAATTCTCCACCCAAAACTGTTATGCTTAGAAGAAGCCCACGCGATCTTTTTTCAGGGGAAATGGCAATACACCGCGTTTATTGAAGATACAACAATTAGCATATGTATTCAATCACACACACACACCACACACAGTGCCAGTCTATGTTATAGTTACCAGTTTAGAGTCCAGATCAATCTAGTGGCCCGTTAGGTTGATCACGGTTAGGGAGGAGCCGGGTTCTGTCGGCCACGACATGATGCTCCGGGGAAGTCTTGGCAGGACGAACCCAAAGTTTCATGGCAAGGCACCCTGTTTACATAGTGATTTTCCTTTATTGGGACCAATGAGTTTTGCACCATCGTGCTGTAATCAATTGTTGTTTGACGAGTGCTTGTTTTCTTAAATTGTCCTCCTTACTTTTTATTTTTTTTAAAGGAGTTTTTTAGGGAGTTCTCCCAGGCTGGTTTTGATCGCAGCTATTTTGTTCCCATTGATAGGTGCCTGTCTCTTTTTTAGAGTTGTTAATCTGCCCTCCTCTGACATTTCAATAGGGGCGTGTTGCAGCCTCCTGGCGCCCTTGCATCTGTCTCCGGCTCCTTCCTAGACCGTCTGGTTCAGCGATGCCCTATACACTTATCTCTTAACACACACATTTCTTATTTACACACAAAACAGAATTAATTTACACAGAACATTTTGAACAGGAACATGAAGTTGCAGTTCAAAAGAAAACAATCATGGCATTCTTTTACTGATTTTAAAATGCTAACCCTACAACAAAGGGGTGACCTTAAAACGTCTGTTACTGCCCTGAAATCAGCCCAGACACAGATTCCGGCTGATGCAGCTTTACCAAATGGCCCATTAGGCCATTCCTTTCTGCTATTCAAAAAGGGTGGCTGGCAGGATATGATCAAATCATACACCAATACATTTAGCACAAGCTACATTATTATTCTTTATTTTTCATTTTAAATTATACAAAATACAGACATAAAATCCTACTACTACAACTGTATATCATAGGCCCTATATTGCTAACAAGTCTCTTTCAGCAACAAATGTAGAAGCCTGTGCTTTTGGAATAGGAGGAGCTGAGCTCCTTCTCTGCTGTCCCCAGAAAGTTCTGGGTAGCCAACAACTGAGTGTGCTACGTGGCCTTGGATTTATTAAAATGCACAACAGTTTACCCAGTGCAGAGAACACAGCTTACGTGGCGTACGGACCCTTTTGGCCCTCAGGACAGAGACCAGTGGGAGCTGCGTGCGCTCAGCCCCTCTCGAGATCAGCCCCACAGAACGTTTTCCCTTCTCTCGGATTTGTTCTCTGGCTGCTGCTCTGAGAATGGGAGGCCTCCCTGTTCAGAGCCCCATCACACTTCAGGCCACACACGCATAGCGAGAGGCTGATAGGACATCGAGGGACAAATTAAACCATCCGATTGGCTCATCCGCCAGCCATTCATTCTCTGCTCTGTTGACAGAGGCATCTCCACACATCGATGCCGGGTCCCAGCACCAACGTTCTGGACTCTAGGTGGAGACAAGAGGGGCCCTCCCCTTGAGCTCCCACCCAGTCCCCAAACTGTGTCATGCTCTGCCCGAGCCAGGAGCCCACTCGCTGTTGAGCTGCGTGCACCGTGCACCGGGATCTCCGCATCCATTTCTCTATGATCTCATATGGCGTCCAACATCACAATAACTAAGAACTTGCGGCACTCACATGCATCCCATGCATCTTTGCATTGGAGCAAAAGGATTCTGGGATACACTTAAAACCTTCCATCAGCCTATCCCCGGGCCCTTTGGCGTAAATGGAGACGCTCCTTTGGAGGAGAAGGAGATTGGCGGAAACTTCGCAACTGGTGCAGAGTGATCCAGGACGGGCCTGCTGGCAAGCGTCCAGAGCCGTCACATAACTATTCTGCGGCCTCTAAGGTCTGGCGCTCTCTGCCTGCTTGCAAGATCACGCCTGCTGCTGCTCCTCTGCACTAAATGTGGCCGCGTGGCTGTCTCGTAGCAAGACGTGTGTCGGCCCCTCCGAGAAGAGTTTGACTGGACCAGGGAAAAAGGGTTTCTCCTGCTGCAGGAGGTAGATGCCAGTAGCTGTGCATGTCCTTGCAACAGTGTCCCTGCCCTGCTCAGATCATAGACACCTTGTTCTTAATGTACAAGTGGTAGGGGTCGCTCCGCTTGTCCACCTTCCTGGACTTGGTGTAGCCCAGAATCAAACTCCCCACCGTGGCGGCAAACAGGATCATCACGAACAAGATGATCATGTAGGAATAGTCGTCCTTGCTGGCTAGCTTGACATGACTGCCATTTGTCCGCCCCGTGGCCTGTTCTGGTGGGCACAGGATGGCACCGTGAAGTGTTTGGTTCAGGGCCTTCAGCATTGACTGCAGACTTTGGTACCACATCTCCATCAGGTTCCCCACCTCCATGTCCTCGCAACTCCCAGGAAACTTTCTGCCAGGATAAAGGGGGAAAAGTGACTTCTGTCAGGCCTCACTGGGGGATGGGGGGGGGGACACACATACACAGTAAAGAAAAGCCCACTGCAACGAGTCTCAGAACCTGGGTTAACTACCTGGGATTGCGCTGCAGGGCTACATATGGCAGTGTAGACGTCCGGGCTTGCGCTAGAGCCTGGGCTCTGAAACCTGGTGACGGGGTGGGTCTCAGAGCCTGGGTCCGACCCGAGTCTGGATGTCTACACTGCTGGTTTTAGCCCTGCAGCACGAGCCTCAGTCAGTTGACTCGGACTCTGAGATCGCAGGTTATTTCACAATGCTTTGAGGGAACTTACAAGTCACACAGCATCACTGCTGCAAGCCAGGCCCTGCAGTCATGCTGGCTGATTAGCACCAGTGTACAACTTGTGCATATTAGTGAGATGGAATAAAAGTGCAGATCCCAGATAACATAACATTGTGATGTCACCTTCCCCCGAAGGATCCCAAAGCGTAATCCTAATGTATCACCAGCCACAGACACGCAGCGCCACGGAGATGCAGCCACCTCTGGTGCGGAGCACAGCAACCAGACAGCTCACAGTGGGGACATTTTGGCCATGTACACTTTGGAAAACTCCTGTTCTTATGTAGGGAAATCCTGATCCTTTCCTCTGGGGCTGCAGGATAGTCACAACAGATCCATTGCAGGGTGCCAGGCGCAGGATTTGTGGAGTCTGTAGAGAAGCCCTGGCATAGGCCTTACAGATCATGGCTATGCAGGGGCTCTCTGTGCATGGCTCTGATGATGGATTGAGGTAGGGTGCTACTGGGGCAGGAGGGTCTCCGACCCACACGGATCCACCAGCCCTATGCCCTGATGTATAGGGGGCTGGGGCCGGAGGGGGTAAGTAGAGCCCACTGACAGTAACTGCCTCTTTAGGCCTGGTGGGACAGGAAGCTATTAGTGTTCAGCACAGCTGGAAAGATTTTCCCCCATCACGTCTCTGTCTCCCACTCTGCGCTACACCAAAGCTCTGGTGATCCCTCACAAGGTGGGAGCCTCGGCAGAGGTTCTACTCGTATTTCTGTTCCCTGCTTTGCACCGCCCCTCTAGTAGACACCCTGGGGACTTTCCCTCAGCCAAGAGTGACAAGCTACAGATCGGTCTCTTCCTTCCCCACCCGGGGGTCTAGCTTCAGCCTGCCTTCTGAAGGCCCCCGGAGCAGAGTGCAGCACAGAGGAGACCATCCGGCAAGGTCTACACCTCCATCCACATGGCCCCTGTAACTGGGTGATCACCAGTGCCGACAACACGCTCCCTTCATTGTGCTCCCAGTTGGAGGGGCACCGTGGAAGACCCTGGTTAGACAGACGCGCAATCAGCCCCTGTCCATCATGTGCTGGGGCAGCCAGAGAGCAGTCATCCCTGGGTCCTAACCCCATGTCAGGTAAGCCAGGGTAAATTCTTTGTACTTACACAGCATCTCCCATCCAAAGAGCAAGAAAAAGGGGCCATGTGGTGTTGGCATCCGTCCCGTTGTGGAGATGGACAGGTACCGAGATCCCCAAGGTCACACAAGAAGTCACAGACGTCCACAGATAGGCTCCCTCGGGGCAGTCACCCTCAGAGAGGCCAGAGACTGAGTATGCCTGCAGTGTAGGTAGCCCATTGGTGAGGTGGGGCGGAGGAGCTGGCCCCGTCGCTGCCTTCACAGGGCCTGTCCTGTGGACAGACAGAGGATGAGTCTCCAGGGCTGTCAATCAGGCACCATCATTCAGTTAAACTAAACATTAAAGTGGGAGACCTCTCTGGGGCAGGTACCACCTTCTTGGTTCTGCGTCTGTACAGCGCCGAGCACAACGGGGCCCTGATCTTACACGGGGCCCCAGTTTAACCCATGCCATGTTTGGCTCTCTGCCCCTCTCTAGTGGCTCAGCCCCAGAGATTTCAGCTGGTGCCACAGCCATTTTGCTAACGGATCTATTAATTTCACTCAAGCAGTGGAGACTGACTCTCTTCTATTCAGAGCTTCAATCCCAGCAGATAACCTGCCCGGGACACTGTCACGCGAGGCACTGTTGTAATGCAACAAAGCAACCACCTGATCAAACCTCCCGAGATTTCAGAAAAGCTTTCGGCTTGCTTAGGGGCTACGCTGTGAGTCTGCTCCGGTTCTAGCTGCTCCCTAGCCCGGAGCTGGTCTCTCCTTCCCAACATGTCGGGAAAGTCAAACGAACCGAACAGTGACTCTGGGGAAAGGTGAGCCCCTGGCGTGAGTGGAGGTGCAGGGAAACCCTGAAATAAGGGGGGGTGGAAGTGTGAACACAGGGGCCTTGCGGGAGGGGAATGGAGAGATGCCAGGAGCGCTCATCCCACAGCAGCACCAAAGCGTGCGCCCCTCTAATTAAACTGCCCCCCAGAAACACTGCAGAGTGGGGCAGCGTTGGGCACTCAAAGCTCGAGCTGGGGAGTTAATCACAGCTAATTGCCAGGGGTTGAGCCGCCTTCCAACTGCTGAGTGTGGCTGAACACCCTCAAGGACTTGTGGAGCATGGAGGATGCTCCCGGGATCAAGCCCGTGGTACTAATTGGGCCTAGCTGTGAGTGAACGTTCCTACAATAGTACCACACCTACGGTAATAAATGTTGATGGGGAAAGGTGCAAAGGGAAGCCACAGAGAGGGAAGGCGTCCAAACAAAAAGGCCTGTTGATATACCTCAGGGACTGTGTTAACGCCATGCCCCGTAAACAAGAGAAGGGTTGGACCGAAAATCAATGGACCAAAATTGGTTTGTCGGAAATTAGGTCTAATTGGTGAACAAATTCACGAAGGGAAGGGCTGTTGACCCATTTCATCCTTCTGGGGTCCTCAAAAAACCCCAACACTTATGGGAGGAGTGGGGGGGGGGGGAGCGTCATGAGGATGAAACTGGCTGCCAACAACCGCTGGCTGAGAGACCGGAGAACAGGAATGGAGCAAGATTCCCCATCACGGCTGCCACCCCCACCAGCTCCTGGGACCCAGAACCCAACCATGACACTGTTAGGACTTCGTCGTCCTGATTCTCAGCAACGTCCCGACAGGGCCAAGCCAAGAGAAGGACCCAGACTCAGGCGACATCTACTCTACAGACCTGTATCGGTATCACTACGTCGCTCAGGGATGTGAAAAATCCACCTCCCTGAGTGACGCACTTCTACTGACTTGTAGACAGCGCGATATCGATGGGAGAGCTTCTCCCGCCAACATAGCCGCCGCCTCTCAGGGAGGTGGATTAACTACGCCACTGGGAGAAACTCTCCTGTCGGTGTAGGCGCGTCTTCATGTAAGCGCTACAGCGGCGCAGCTGTGCCGACGCAGCGTTTGAAGTGTAGACCTGCCTCAGTGCTGCAGGTTTTGATTCCAGCCCTGGGGCACAGCGTTCTGGCTGGCCAGGCAGTTGCAGGAGAGCAACGAGGGCCCGAGCAGCACAGGCCCTTGTGCAGCTGCACAGGTCGCACAGACCCACGACGGTCACTGCTGCTCTGGCCGAGATTCCCCTCCACCACACAAAGTCTGTGCCGGTCAGCTGATCTGCACAGGATGGCCTTGCAGCTCAAGCGCAGCACTAGGGCTCAGGAGATCTGGCTTCTATTCCCCGCGCTAATAGTGAATGTCCCAAAGCAAGTCCTGTAGCCACACTTTGATTCAGTTTCCCCGTCTGAGACCCAGGAATAACAATACTTCCCTGCCGAGGCTTAATTCACTAGACGCCTTTCTCAAAAAGCTTCCGTTACTACCACTTGGATGGACTATGGGACATTTGGTTGAGATCGCTGCGTAAGAAGACGAAATAATGGAAAAATATGGCTGAACTGTGCTAGTGAGAAATGTATCAAGGAATCTGCGTTTGAAAACCATTATATTAGACTGCTAAAGAGTTGGTAGAGCTCGTTTTGTGAGACAGCGGTTAAATGAGAAATACATTCCTGATCAATGTTAGGACAAATTTCTCATGGAATCATGCTTCAAAGGAACCTAGGCTGCTCTGCTTGTGGTTTAAAAGAAATCGCTGCATGAGAAATACAGGAAATGAGAATTATATCTCTGATCTTTGCTACTGACCACTTTCTCACGGAATCCTGCCACTAAAACCACTGGGATGCATTTCTACTTGTTTGGAAGACATACAATAGTGAGAAAAACAACAAATTAGCAGAGAAGCCTAATGTCTCTTCAAGCACGATTCTATGTATCATGTCTTCCTATGACACCGCAGGAAATTTGAAAATCCTTCCTGAGCTCCGCGCCTGACTGATTTCTCATGGAATCTTTGGTTAAACGCCACGAGGATGGACTACTGGTCAGTTGGTAGAGATCGGTCCGTGAGAAAAGGAAACATGAGAGACTCTTTCTTGATCTATTTCACAAGGAACGACGCTTCAAGAATGATTAGGATGCTATAATGCTCATTCGACAGACATGGGTCCGAGAGCAATAGGAAAATCAGATATTTAGTCCTGCTCTTTTCTAGGGAGTAATTTATCAATGACTTTTCCTCTGAAAGTATAAGGAATAGATCCTGCCTCTTTCAAAGAAATCAGTTTGTGAGAAAGTCATTAAATGACATCATCATTCCTGATCTGTGCTGCTGACTACTGTTTCAGTGAATAAGTCCTCAAAAGACCAGAGGATGCACTACAAAAGGTTTCGAAAAACTCGGTTCCTGAGATTAAATACAGGAAATGAGAATTATATCCCTGATCTATGCTACTGACCACTTTCTCACGGAATCCTGCCACTAAAACCACTGGGATGCATTTTTACTTGTTTGGAAGACATGCAATAGTGAGAAAAACAACAAATTTGGAAATCCTTCCTGAGCTCCGCTCCTGACAGATTTCTCATGGAATCTTTGGTTAAACGCCACGAGGATGGACAACTGGTCAGTTGGTAGAGGTCGGTCCGTGAGAAAAGGAAACATGAGAGACTCTTTCTTGATCTATTTCACAAGGAACGACGCTTCAAGAATGATTAGGATGCTATAATGCTCATTCGACAGACATGGGTCCGAGAGCAATAGTAAAATCAGATATTTAGTCCTGCTCTTTTCTAGGGAGTAATTTCTCAATGACCTTTCCTCTGAAAGCCATAAGGAATGGCTCCTGCTGGTTTGAAAGAAATCGGTATGTGAGAAAGTCATTAAATAACATCATCATTCCTGATCTGTGCTGCTGACTACTGTTTCAGTGAATAAGTCCTGAAAAGAACTGAGGATGCACTACAAACGATTTCGAAAAACTCGGTTCCTGAGATTAAAGAAGAAATGAAATAGTCATTCCTGAGCTACGCTACTGACAATTTTCTCTTGGAATCATACTTCGAAGGCCAATGCAATGCATTGCTAATGGTTTGGAAGCGCTCGGTCGGTTGGCTAGACGAAAAAAGGGAGAATCATTCCTGATATGTGCTACTGAAAGATTTCTCACGGAATCGTGCTGTAAATGACAGTAGGATTTTGTGTTAATGGTTTGCTGGAGATCGAGTAGTGAAAAATACCAAAAACATGACCATCCTCTTCAATGCTGCTATTGACATACTTCCCATAAATCATGCTACAGAAGCCATTTGCTTGTTCTGCTAGTGGCTTGAAAGAGATGAGTTTATGAGAATACTGAAATTAAATCTTCCATTGCTGATCTGTGCTAGGGACCAGTTTCTCAAGGAATCTTCGTTGAAAAGCCAAGAAGATGCTCTGCTAGTGGTTTGAAAGTGATGGGTCCCTGAGAAATATGGAAAATGCGAATTATATTCCTGCTCTATCATAGGAATGTCTATGTCTCATGCAATCGTGCTTGAAGAGATATTAGGATTCTCTGCTAATGTTTTTACAGATATCAGGTAATGAGAAATACAAAAAGTGTGTAAATCCATTCCTGAGAAGTACCGGAGTTGCCTTTCTCAAAAAAGCTTCCTTTACTACCACTTGGATGGACTACGGGACATTTGGTTGACATCGCTGCGTAAGAAGACGAAATAATGGAAAAACATTGCTGAACTGTGCTAGTGAGAAATGTGGGGGAGGGGTTTCCACCGGGTGTGTGGGTTTGGTGAAAGGCGCCTACAAAACGTTGGGTCTGCCCAGTGCTTAAAGACAGAGCTGACTGGACTCAGCTGGAAGTCCTGGTTTCTTCTCAGTGATCCCTCGAGCTGAAAACATTGTGAAGCCGGTTTGCGTGGGCACCATAGAGCTGGTGCTGTGGTGAAAAACAGTACAGGGGGGAGCAGCAGCGAGGTTCCCCCTAGCCAGGGAAGTCACTAAGAGCTGGACTTACTCCGGGCTGGAGGCCCCTCACAGCATGGCATCGCAGCTCCGGGCAGAGACGGCAGCATGGAGCAGCAGCGGTGCAGAGCAGAGGCAGAGGCATCCCTGGCCCACCCCTTCTCTCCCTGGGGCAGGAGGCGAACCCCCCCCCCCGAACCCTCCCGAACTCTCAAACTCTGCTGAGCTGGGCCCATAAACCGGGTAAGGGGACAGCAGAGGGAAAATGGGAGGGGTGTGCCAAAGGGACATTCCTCCATTGGACTCTCTCCTCCCAAGCTGGGAAACTGAGGCAAGGGGCTGCTGCCCAATGGATTGTAGAGCGGCCGTTT